CTCGGACAGTCGCACGCAGGTAATCTCGTACAGGCTCGTCTGCGTCGTTTTCATCTTGCACGCAGGCGATCTTCGTCTCTCACGCAGGCGATCTTCGTCTCTCACGCAGGCTTGGATCGGGCTCATCTACGTTGTCTTCTCCCACACTCACATCGTCTCCTCTCCCGTACCCGCATTGTTTCTCCTGCAGTAGCCAAGCCAGTGAGGATTTCGTCTTTTTGGTTACTGTAGAATGTAGGCACAGTGAAATTTTATAAATTTTTTGGTTGCTTTAGCCGGTGAAGTGGCCAATACAGTGAAATTTAATTGTTTTTTAATTTTTTATGCTTCAATGAGGTTTAATTTATCATTTCACTGTGGCTACACTAATTTCAGTGTAGCTGCTAAAGTGAATTGCAACTTTTTTATATTTATGTTATAGATTTACTAGAGAACACTCTAGCTACAATAAACCATAATTTTGTTTTATGTGCATGACAATAAACAATAAACAAACTCAATGAAACATAATTCAGATGTATGTTTTAAAATTAAGCGTGTAGTGGAACAATAAATAAGATGAAGCAACATCTTGTCGGCACAAATGAGGGCATTAAGCCATGTACTAAAACCCCTACTGAAGTTCAAGAGAGATGCAAAAATTAAAAGACAATGTGATAGTGCACTAAATGACATTAGAAGTAGTGCAACAAATTCATCATTAGTTGACCCTTCCCAAAGACTACCTAAAGTTAGAGGTCCAATGGATTCTTTCACCAAAACATAAGCAAGAAATTCTACTCTAAATTTTAAGTGGAAAAAAGAAGAAATAAAAGAAGCATGCAGGGCAATTGGAAGATTATGCTATTCAGCTAGATTGACATTTAATGCTTGTCAATGACTCATATTTCATGTCTATGTTTGAAGCAGTTTCTAATTTTAGACCTAGTTTTACTCCGCCTACAATGCATGATTTGAGAACTTGGATACTCAAAGATAAGTTTGTTATAATCAATAAGATGTTAGAGAAGCATAAGAAATGAGTACATATGGATACTCGATTATGTCAGACAGTTGAGCAGATGGAAAAAGTAGAACTTTAATTAAATTTCTTATGAACAGTCTAGTTGAGCCATTTTTCCACAGACATGTGGATGCTTCTAATACTATACAAAGTGGTAAGTTACTATTCACTTATTTGGATGACGTGATTGATAAAGTGGGGAAACAATATGGTGAAAATTATAAAAGATAATTGATCAAATTATGTGAATGCCCGTAAAAAAATAACAGAGAAAAGACAACATATTTATTGGGCAGCATGTGCAATACATTGTATTGAACTAGTGTTAGAAGATATCAGGGAGTTGGAAGATACACGATAACACACTTACAAAATCAAAACAAGAAGTTAAATTCATTTATGGGCACACATAGGTTTCTAGTTTGATGAGATCTTTTACAAAGAAGAAGGAACTCGTTCGTCCAACCATCACAGGGTTTGCTACGATGTATTTGATCCTTCAAAGCATTTACAAGCAGAAACAACCACTTCAAACAATGTTCTCCTTAGAAGCTTGGTGTTCTATTCAATGGTCAAAGAAGACAAAAGGTATAAAAGCTCAAGTTGTTATTTTGTTTGATCCACATTTTTGGGGTCATCTTGGTTATTGTATCAAAAATATTGTGTCGCTTGTAAATGTTTTAAGAGAGCTTGACTCAGAAGAAAGAGCAGTCATGAGTTATATTTATGAGTTAATAGATTCAGCAAAAGAAAATTTTGATTTTAATTATAGGCATAATGAAAAGAAGTATGAACCCATTTGAAGAAAAGTTGATGCAAAATGGGAAGTCCAACTTCATAAACCACTATATATAATTGATCATTATTTAAACCCTCAATTTCACTTTGAGGATAATTTTTTTAATAATGATGAGGTAAAAAAAAATGTTAATTGATTGTATGGAAAGAATGTTAGATTATGAAGATCCTCTTAGAGCTGATATTCAACTATAATTGTATAATAACTTACGAGTAGACTTTGGTAGTATGGTTGTTATGGATTCAAGAAAGTTGAGATCTCCCGCTGATTGGTGGATGAGATTTGATCGGAAAATACCTGAGTTAACAAATTTTACGATTCAAGTTCTTAGCCTCACATGGAGTTTATCAGGTTGTGAATGAAATTGGAGCACTTTTGAATCGGTAATACTTTTAACATTGTCAATATCGGTCCCGAGCCTGGATGTGAAAAGTGGAGTGTTGCGTTAGGTAGTTGACGGCTAGTGTAAAACTTATAAAAAAAATCATGACATTAATCATTTTGATCATTTTGTACGTGATAAGGCGTCCCCTGAAAGCGACGCGCTGTATGACCTGAATACAGTTACATGTGTGCAAGGGCCGCTACACCGGTGTCCAAGTGTAGTGTCAAATAAGTAAGGGTTCCCATATTATAGACGGATGCGATAAATAAGTTAGTCCATGAAACTAAAATTAGGATAGCTTAGAATATATGTACTCTCAATGGTAAATTAATGAAATTAGTTGATATTATGATTCATAGAAAGATAAATATCTTATGTATTCAAGAAATTAAATGAGTTAGAGAAAAAGCTAAGGAGGTTGATAAATTCGTTTTTAAACTGTGGTATTCTTGTAAGAATCACACTATAAATGTGTAGGTATAATTATAGATAAAGAATTTGAAAGATAATGTTATAAAAATTAATAGAGTTAGAGATAGAATTCTAACCCTTAGGATTATTGTTGCTACTAAAATTTTTTATATTATAAGTGTTTATGCTCCTCAAGTAGGTTTAGATATAGATTTTAAACATAAATTCTGGAATGACTTAGAAAAATTAATACAAATAATATCTCTTGAAGAAAAAAATTTTACTGGAGACTTAAATGGAAATGTCGATAAAGCGATAGAAGATTTCAAAAATATTCATGGTGGCTACGGTTTTGGAGTGATTAATGAAGGTAGTCATATTAGATTTTGTTTTGGTGTATGAATTTGTTTACTAACACTTTATTCAAGAAAAGAAAATAACATCTTATTACTTATAAGAATGGATCTAATGAAACATGAATTGCTTATTTTCTTATGAGAAAAAGAGATTGACAAGATTGTAAAGATTGTAAGATCATTCCAAGTGAGAATTTAAATTCCCAACATCAATTATTAGTTCTAGATTTTAAGATGAAGAATTATAAAATAAAAAAATATTAGAATTCAACATCATAGAATTAGATGTGGTACCTAAAAGACACAAATTCAATTATTTTTATGCGTAAAATTCAAGATTTCAAAATTTGTGATGTTCATGAAGAAACAAATGCTGATGGGGATAAAGTAACAAACAATATTAAATAAACGACAAAAGATGTACTTGGAGAATCAAAAGTAAAAGTTCCTATAAATAAAAATAATTGGTAGTGGAATAATAATGTGCAAGAAATGATAAAATATAAGAAGTTTTGTTATAAAAATTAGTTTAAATGTAAAAACTTAGAGAATTGGGAAAAATATTAAACGACCAACAACGAGTCTAAAAGAATTATTTGTGATGCTAAAAATTCTGCTTATAATAACCTTAATAATATATTAGACACCAAGAAGAGTGAAAAATATATGTATAAACTAGCCAAACAAAGAAAAAAGAAAAATTAAGATTTAACTCAAGTGTATTAAAGATGAAAATCAAAAAGTATTTTTCTTAAAAAAAAATATTCAACATAGATGAGTGAGTTCATTTTGATAAAATTTTTAATGAAATTTCTGATAATACGATCAACCTTAGTGATCTTAATATTGTTAATAATAATAAAACGTTTCATTTTTACCGCCGCATTAGTTAAGAAGAAGTTGAAGAGGCTTTAAAGAAAATCAAGGGTGGAAAGGCTGTAGAACCTGATGATATCCCAATTGAGGCGTAAATATATTTAGGAGATTTGAGAGTTTCCTAGCCTTACCAAACTCTTTAATATTATTACAAAAACTAAAAAGATGTTTGAGGAGTGGAAGAAGATTATTTTGGTCCCCATGTTTAAGAATAAAGGGGATGCACAAGAGTGTGCAAATTATAGAAGAATTAAGTTGATGTTCCATACTTTAAAATTATGGGAGAGGGTAATTGAACATAGGCTAAGATGTATTACAAAGATTTCTCATAATCAATTTGGATTTATGTCAGGTCTACCATGTAAGCTATACACTTATTGAAAGGTTTTGATAAAAGAGTTCAGAGATAATAAGGTGGATCGACATTTAATTTTTATTGATTTAGAAAAAGCCTACAATAAGGTTCCAAGAGACATCCTTTGGAGAGTTCTCGAGAAGAAAGGTGTTGATATGACTTATATTCAAGTCATTAAAGAAATGTACACTAGCGTTGTTACTTGTGTTTGAACAGGATGATTGACAAAATATTTTCCTATTTTTGTTGGATTACATCAGACATCGGCTTTAAGCCCATCTCTTTTTGCCTTAGTTATGGATGGTCATACTGGACATTTACAGGAGGATGTACCGTGGTGTATCCTTTTTGTTGACAATATCCTTCTCATGCATAAGACGAGAGAAAAAGCATAGGAAAAATTAGAGAGGGACGTCTTAGATGGTTTAGTCACATTAGCCGTCGATCATCTGATGATCCAATTAAAAGAATAGATGTTTTAGATTCGACTTATGTTAAGAAAAGCAAAGGTAGCCCTATGAAGACTTGGGCTTATTATATAAAAAATGATCTTAATTTATTAGAATTAAATGAAAATATGACTCTAAATAAGATGCAATGGAGAAAAAGGATTCGTGTAACCAACCCCACTTAGTGGAATTAAGGCTTTGTTGTTGTTGTTGTTATTGTTCAGACCTTAAAAGATCATTGGCTTATTACATTCACATACATATAGAATTAACTTCAAAGAATTTTGTCATCAGCTGCTTTTTAAGTACTCTTTCTAATTATTTATAGCACTGGTCTAAGCTTCAATTCCTCCAAAAATGACATACCTGGCCTGAAGCAGGGAAATTGTAAGAAGCAGGAGACGTTCTCTTCCAGTAGTTTCAGCTTTGACCTGTTTAGGAAAAATGTGATTAACTCCATCAGAACTAAATAGCCCAATTATTGTATAACTTGTCATTTGTTGATACATAATTCTAAATTCCTTGTAACATCATTACATGGTACCATTTAAGCAAAAGAGAACAATATATCACATGCACAGTAAGAAAATTAATGTGCAGTTGTGCCAAAGTTTCTTTGCCAATGCAGCAACTGCAGCGTGCAGTGCAGTAAATAAAGCAGCACAAGAGAATAATGCAAGACAAATACAGAATCAAACATTGCCCAATACATTTTCACCATCACGAGCATCAAAACTATCAAAAAGTTAAATTAATAAGAAAAACTATATTCCTACATCAAATAGGAGTCATAACCTAAAGAATTTGTTAGAACAATGAAATCTTAGAATAGCTCTCTGAATAGTATCATCTATATAATTTTGAAAGACATGCAAGGTTTAAATTAAAGTTAGTGGAAGACTAATTATTAAATGTTGCATATGAAATTAAACTTGTGTGGCCTAAAATATAAACATAAACATATTTTGTATTATTTGATGAATATTATTTTATTTGTTATAATTATCTATTTAATTGAAGGTCATAAGTAAGTAATTAAAAGTGTAGTAAACTATAATTCACCAAAAATAGCATATTAAGCTTCTTTAAGGTTTTTGAATGTTAAGAGATATTATGAATATTTTGTTAGGACTATCTTACCTATTATTAGAATGCCTACAGAAGGTAGAATTTGTTTATGAGCATAAATATATATTTCATCCAGAGTGAAAGAATTCGAAATTGAGATCAATTCTACGTCTAAGCCTCTCTAGGAAACTAAACATGAATTTAAAATTGGGGTTGAAATTTAATCTAAACATATATTGCATCTAAAACCTGTAAGAATCCATGGATTCATGCCAAAAAAAGTCAAGATCTCACATATTTATGTGAAGGAAAGAAGTAATATCCCACATATTACTTTAAGAAAAAAAAAATTAAGAGCAATTGCTAGAAAAGAAGTTTTTATTGCATTTATTCAAAGTAAAAGTGCTAAAATTTATATAATAGTAGATTTTTTTTTTTTCAAAATAGGCTAGATGCATATTTTATTCATAGATAAGTTTCTGTAGTAACTTAATTCAAATGATTTAATTAAATAAGAAAAAATATAATCTCCATTACATGGAATCAGAACTCTAGGCTCTTTTCCAAAATTCTGCCTTCAAAAAAATTCCAGCTCTTTGAAAACTCAATTTGATCATATCATTCATTAAAGCATTACTTTCTATTCAGCCTTTCCAATTTCATCTAGGGAATTGAGTTTAATCCCCACCGAGACAAAAAGTTTTAATGCATATTGAGTTTAACCGCCACCAAGACCAAAAGTTTCCACTCCTCCACATATCTTAACTAATTTGTTTCCTATAACCTACAATTGCATCTCAATCACACTTTTTATATAGATGTAAAATCATTAACCCTCTTGTATATACTTGTCGTTGTCCTCATTTTGTCTTGTGGACCTCAACAACAGGGAGTCAAGGAGTCAACCTTGATTACACAACTTTATAACTCATTTTGTTTGCATGACTGTTGCTCAAAGCTAAAAGCCCTTAAAAAAATGTTTTCCGCAATTGAATTCAACTTGACTTTTAAACAACTTCATAGGAAATTCTCATTCATAATGCGTTTGAAACTCCTTGAGGATTTACAAAGTAAGTGGGACGATATGAAGAAATTCTACTGCAATGATAAATCTAAAATTATCAATGCAGTGTCATTCAGGAAGACATATAGAAGTGAACCAACACTTGATATAAGAAAAGATAGATAATGCCTTGACTAGCACACATAATATACTTATTCAACTGTAGTTTGTAGTGTGCTTACTAGAGATTTAAATGGTGGCATAGAATCCAATTTTGTCCGTGGAATCACACACAAGGGTAGATCTAGCAATGGAGGAAACAGTTAGCTGGAGAGAGAGAGAGAGAGAGAGAGAGAGAGAGAGTAGAGAATATTGTAATAAACTACAGAGAAATAGTTCAATTGAAGGAGATCATCCCTTTTAAATTAACCCTCCCATTTATAAAGGGGCATTTTCTCTATAAAAATTGTATAAACTATGATTACATACAGTTGGGGTCTCTGGTTGTTCAAGTTTGTCTTCTATTACCTTGGAAGTATAAACTTCATTATTTCTGGTCTCTTCTCCTCTGTGGATGCTGCATTCGGGCTTCTACAGTCTGCCATCATGTTTAGTCACAACATGCACATGATCAACCTTCTTTCTTGAGAACCTCATCCGCTTCGAGTCATGAATTTGTGGGCGACTAGATCAATATCCTGAGGGGTCATCTAGTATTCACCAGTATTTGCCTCCTTGTGCTCATAATTCTACACTCAAGTCAGTTGCATTCAGCACAGCCATACTCGGCCACTCATGCTCGCCTTCGCACTCGAGCACAATACATTTAATTATGCACATCTGAGTCGGATCATTTCTAAAACTCCTGTCCATTAGGGTCAGGCCCTTTCACAAGCCATGGCCAATAAGAGAAGGCCATTAAATCAATCTTCATTTTTATGGCATGTTATGGCCTCTTTCAATCATACATAATTAGTTTCCCTACTCGTCTCTTGGAAGCTGTGTTGCAAGAAGAATTAAAGATTAAATGCATTGAATTATTATAAAATTTAAATTCTACTTATGACAGGAAACTCTCTCTGATTTTGAAATCTAAACCTTATAAAAAAGATTATAAGATATTGCCAAATACATTTGCACTTCAACCTTTTTCTTCTATTTCTGTACTCGATTGTTTGATATGCATTTATAATATAATGGCGGATCTCAATGAAGCTAACACCGCCATCTCATATGATGAGTTACTAGAGGGACTGTTTATTAAGCGAAAACAGGAACGCGACCAGAAAATATAAAAAAGGCTGAGTAATAAAGTGAATGAGGGAGAGTTCGACTTCTTCTGATGTGGAGGCATCTCAGACGATTCTTGTGGGGATGACTATCATAGAGTTGGATTCGCTATTGGGCAATTCATCCATGGACTCTTCCACGGGATAGAGAGGAGCTAGGCAAATGCCAGGGGAATTGCCAACCCTAGATGATGTTGAAATTTCAAGGCTTCACAACTTCAACATGAGTGTAGATCAAATAGTATGTGGAAAAATCTTAGAAATTAAGTAAAAATTAAGAGAATACATATTGTGTCGTTTACTTTCCTTGTTTGCTTGCAATGTATATTACATATTGCGAGCTTTTCGGCTCCAATTCTCCCACAAAGAGTATTGGCTAGCTATATGTCGGTCAACTTTTTGATCGATTAGATTTAATTTTGAAAAATATGATATATGAAAATAATTTTTGAGCATTAATTTAAATATAAAGGATATATAGTTTGAGTTTTAAAAGTAGTATGTTTTAATTTTAGAAAAATGAGACCAAATGGATCTCATTAGTCTGATAGTTTGCATAATCGTGCCTGATACCGCGAATACTACACCTTCCCGAGAGATAAGTGTAGACCTCAGCGATAGACCCAATCCTGCAAACTAAGAGATTTGTGACATCCGTTTGGTCTGCGAACCTTTTATATATGACCGACAAATTCCCCTATTTAATACAAAAATTAAATAGGGTTTATTTTACCTGGGTTCCAAGTTCCCTATAGAGGCAAGCCCCTATAGTTAATTACATCCCAAATGACGGGAGTCACTTGAGAAAACTCTCGATAATGATCAATGGTTCTAGTCTTCAAGAATTCAAGGTTCAGGTTTTCAAGGTAGGATGAGGAAAACCAAATGGGAATGGCACAATGAGGAACACTTATTTTCAGGAGTCCAAAGGAAGGAGAAGGTAGGGGATGTCACTGATCCGAGGTAAA